GGATTAGAAAATCAGCAAATATATTGGCTGATGTTTTTGCAAAGACAGCAGAAAACAAAGATGCTTTATGTCGGGCCTGTCATTCATTAGCAAGCAGATCTGGTTTGTTGTATTACACACTTGTTTTTTAGTAAGAAAAAGGGCTATTTGCAATAAAAAGAGAATCTATAGGCTATAAAGATAGTGCTGTTAGAAGTACGCCAAAGAGACAAAACGATTGTCTCCATTTGAGACCATAGTCAAAAAGAAAAAACCACAGGTAATTGTGTATATATCAACAAAAGATCCAAGACATTCCAAAAAGTTTCTATCAAAAAATGGCACTGTTCAGGGTAATCAAGCTTGATCTTGAAAAGGCTTATGACAAAATTGATTGGGATTGTTTGTTGAGGGTGTTGGAGATGAAGTTTTTAATAAATGGATGAAGTGGGTAAAAGGTTGCATTTCTTCAGCCTGGTTCTCAGTTTTAATAAATGGCGAGCCCGAGGGTTAAAATAACGCAAGCCCAGGGCTTAGATAAGGCTGCAAATCGGGCTAGGTTAGGTTGGGTTAAGTCCAACCCTAAGTTCTAAACCCCCAACCTTAACCTTAACTCAACCTGACCTTCAATTGGATAGTTAAAATCTTTTCCCCTTTTTGACCTAATGCCTTTTAAAAAAAAATGTATGCAATATCAATCAATGTGAAGATTGTTGTATGCTTGTAAATGCAGTAAAATAAAAATGCAATCAAACAAATAATAGTACACAAGAAAATAAATATTGCTAGGTAGATAAAGCACACAGATTTTGAGAGGTTCTGCCAATCCCGGCTCATGTCCTCTACTCATGACCCTCCTGAGATTTTCACTACCACAGACTGACTGAGCTTAATGGTGCCAGTCAAATCAATACAAGTAGGGCTTTCGGGTGCCTGTTATACCTAGGTAGATTTTCATGGTGCTATCCCTACCAACAACTTAGTGTTCACCTCTTAGAACACCCACAAATTACAAATTATAAAATAATATACGTTCAAATACGAATACAAGCCTCTAACTAGGCAGATATAAGCAAATACAAGCAAACTAATATCAATAGCAAGACAAGTAACAAAAATAAAATAAGCTCAACACTTGAAGAGATTCTCAAACCACTATGAGAAACATATAAGCCTCAAAGGCTACTTGATTTTTTTTTTTTTTTTTTTTTACATAAATTGCTTTAAGCACAGAAAGAATTCTTCTCTTTTCTCAAACTCTTTGCTCTTAGAAAATGCTCCTAATATTAGCAAATGTAATACCAATAAAGTTTTTCATAGTTCTTCATCCCTCAAATATTATTTATTTTATAGATGTTGAGACCTTATGACCATTAAAGAGTTGTTGGATTGGCTTCAAGCCACTCTTAGCAATGTTCAGAACATAGCCCCAACATATAGAAGGCATACCAAAAGAAGAAACTAGATGTTTAGCGTTTAAATGGTCAAATTTTCACTACTAGTAGCTAGTTGATAAAATTTGTTAGCCAACTACTAGTCATAGGTGGGAATCTTTTTCTCCATCAATTAATTAATCCCACTCTGTTAAACAACTAATAACTTGATACCAACTTTCGACTGTGAAGAGCCGTCAACTCATCATTTGTGGCGATCAACTCATGAATAGTGACACCTTATTTTATGCCTTGTCTATTGAAGACAGTTGACTCATGAACAGTGTAGTTGATTCATCATTTTGGGAAGTTGATTCCTCATTATTAAAAACCTTAAACCTTGCATAAATTCATCCCAATGGTCTAGAAATTTATCCCTTAGGCTTCTAAAGACTAAATTTAAGTCCAAAAACACTTAACAATCATATCTATTCTAATTATCATTTTCTAAGGTTCAGGTTTATTGAGATTGGTCAATATTAAGTTTGTTGTGTACGTTCCAAACTTATAATTTACAACTAGTCCTAGACAAGATATAACACAATCAAAACTTCTTGAACTTAAAATCTTTTTTTTTTTCCTTTTAGCTCATGGTAGTTAAGACTTTCTTTCTAGAGAGATTCATCAAAGAATTAACAACTACTCAATTCTTCGATACTAATTTTGTTTCATTTAGCATTTGTTAATAATTTTTAGCTCAACGAAAATAGTTACACACTTAACACAAACCATTAATACTCTCAATGAATTTGTTATCATTGAAACACATGAACACTCTTGCTTTTACTCCATGCCCTCCATTCTCTGTTGTTGCACTTCATCTTATCAAGCCAGTCTTGTAGTTCATACATCTTTCTGATCATACTAGCCCATTGGCTGTTGTGTATGTTTTCACCTTCATCTTCTATGCATAGGGTATATCTTCTTTCTGATCATACTAGCCCAGCAAGTCTAGTTGTGTTGGCTCCTCTAGTGGTGGCGGCTGAACTAGTATATCTTCTTCAGTTCTTAATTGTTTAACTTTGTGTGGAGGCATCCTACACTTTCTCCGGCCATAACTAGAATTAGATATTCTTGATGTAATCCAATAGGGATAAAGATAGACTTAGAGTCTTGGAAGCAAAAAGAAAAACATCATCGAGGAGAACAAGGAATGAGACTTAGCTCTAAGTGGAATGAATATCTAAACCCCTTCACATAAGGTCTCCCTATTTACAGAAGTAAGGAGACAAGACTACATGAATGAAGCAAGGATTCCAAAATAATCCTCAACTCGAGTAATGAATGTTTGGGGACAGATCCTATCTGTTTCTCCCTTTGGGACACATGTCCTTTAAGACCACAAGGTTGTTGGAACACGATCTTGAGCCTCCTCAAAGAGTGACTCAAGTACAGCTAGTCGTGGTTTTCTTGGGGCACTGATCATGCATCTAGCACCCTTGCCGTATTTGACTTGTCTCACAGTCACAGGACATATATTTTGGTTTTGAATGCCTCGCGGAGCCAACTAGGTGCAGCCTTACGCGGTGAAGTAGTTTACTCTTGTAAGGCCGTGGGCAACTCACGAGGAATAACATGATCCGACAAGGCGGCTCACACAATTAAAATAACATGGCCTCATGAGGCTGAGATACCGTGACCTTGCGAGGTAAAAAGAGATGGCTTCACCTTTACTCCATGCTTCGCCATATCTTTTAATTCTTTACCCTTAGGCTATGTTTGGTTTGTAGAAAAAAGTAGGGAAAAAAAAGGAAAGGGAAGAAAACCTTTACAAATTTTATATAGATTTCTCAACAACTCAAGCCCAAGTTGGGTCTATCAGGTTGGTTTGGCCATTCCAATTCCCAAGTTGCAGCCTAAAGGGTTTACTTTGAAACACCCTTAATGCACAACACGTTCCCCTTCTTGCAATAAAAGGACAATAATCAAGCCTACTCTGGTGTCTAATACCATTCACGTTTCAACAGAAATGACGTGGACATATAGCACATATATCATGTGCATAGAAAAAAGGGAAAATGACCGATAACCCCAGGATCAGAATTTAGTCTCAAAATACATTTGGGATAGGTGCCAACTCAGAATTGATACCAATTCACGGGCAGATATGAGGGAATAGAGTGTGCTTTTTGAATTTTCTGAATGTTTATAGCTTTACAGTGGAAATCAGAAATCTGCATTAGGCCTGTCCATACAATAACTGTAGAGGAAATTCTATATTGCCGGTATAATACAAACGGTCTATTACACATTGTGGAGGACCACCTATAAGCAACTTTCAGACTATTACTAATTAATGCATTATAGCTTGTCCTTTACTTTAAACATATAATAACTGCATGGGAGGGAGGATAAAAAAATTGGATTGGCTAGGTTAGAATTGGTCAGAATGAGTATAGAAAATTTATTGTAGGCTCAATTTGGTTCTCCACATTTCTCCAACTACTTTTTTTGGTGATGGATCATCAGGTCCTCTATCTCGCTGGCCAGACGTGAAGTACAACCATCCATCCCAGAATCCCGCTAGAGTGGTTTTCACACGATAAGGCATCCTTCCAATTACTGACCATTCCTGTAACCATAAAGTCGTGAAGTTATAACAGAAGCAGAAGTGACAATAGGGACAAAAGTGTAGAGAAATAGATAAAAGGTACTGAAGGGTTTGTCTTTTTCCTATTTATACGTAATTGCACATTCAAGAATACAAAACTGAAGGCGTCTGATAACAGATGAAATGGCTGAGCTGAATAACTTCTTTTAGTGAATAAGTTGTCAAGGAGGTTCTGAGCTCCTTAATGGCTGAAGTTGGGTTCTATTGCTATACCTTCAAATAAAAGACAAAGATTAAGTTATTCAGTTCAACCGTTTCAGCCATTATCAAATGACCCTTGCATCTCGTTAGTCTGTGCGGGAGGAAAAAAAGGGAACATAACACATCTTGATTAGAACTAAAAGCAGGGCAGACCACCTTGTTTGGAATGGTCAAATAGAAACGGTACCCCTCCGAAAGGACAACGGATTGATCATCTCAAATCCAGTTGTTCAATTATTGATTTAATACCTCCCTCCTATTCAAGGATCTCATGAAGTGGTAGATTTGATTCTAGATCTGTACTGCTCACAATCACGAGTGAACACACCAGTGTTCCATCCACATCAGACCCGCACCGAAGTGTCCGGAGCACTAGTGTGTTCACTCGTGATTGGATGCATAGCCCATTATATACAGCTTTGCAAGCATCATATCCCAATTTATTTTCTCAAAAAGCAACATACATTTTTCCCTGGGGTAGCACGGAGAATTTCCATTCAAAAAAGGGAAGTATACTTTATTCTACTTCAACTAATCTCATGCATCTGTGTTCCTTGAAATTTGTTGATTATATTTGTTTAAGTCCATAAAAAACATGGATATGAAGCTTCACTTTAGCACATGGGAAGCACTAAAACTGAATAAATAAAATCCTACTCCTAATACACTTGGCTTAATAATCCATCATCACATTATCCAATAGCAGAAAGCTCAATATCAATCTTATATGGACTAAAATCCCATTATATTTATATATCCCAGGGGAGAGAAAATGGTAAAGATAATCTTCATCAATAGGATATCTTATTATAACAAATAAAAGTTATTTATCAAAAAAGAGTTATTATAAATAAAATTGCTGCAAGTTCTCTGGAGCAACCAAGCGTAGGCAACCAAAGAGCTTTCTAGAGTAGAGAGAGAAGACATGAAAGAATGAATTTGTGTACACCTAGATACAAATTACATATCCAGCATGGAAGTGGAAAAAAGAGGTCAATGATACAAATTACATATTGAAGGTTGCAAATGGTTATTGTACACCTAGATGAAACTCTTGTACCGAATAAGCATTTAATTTCAGTGAAGCTTGTAATAATACAAGAGGACCTAAAGGGAAGCAAAGTCCCATGGAACTTTCTACCATTTTCACTTTGCTGGGTTGTGCAGAAGGAGAGATATAGCATTGTTTTTGAAGCCAAAGTATCCCTTTCTGATGGTGATCAACAAAACTGAATGGATGTTGATGTGGTGGTTAGGGTATTAAAATTGTTCTCTGTGGTTCCTATAGACAGCTTCATGAACCACTGGTAAGTATTATTTTTCGAAGCCAGAATGGATACATGTAAATATCGTAGCAAAGCTTCTGTACATGAAATTTTAGGGTTTCTCAACCTCTTCATATTAATACAAATCATACTTATTTATCAGAAAAAAATAAATATATAAATATAGAAGAGGACCTTACCAGTGTATCTAACTTAAATCGGAAAACTTCTCCAACCAGAATCATCTTCTTGGTTACAGGATGCTTTTGTGTTGTGCCTCCAACAATAACAATAGAATTATTGACTAAAACCCATGAAAACTCTATATGAGAGTTAGGTTTTGGCATGGGGGGCAAGGTTTTCCACTTCATCTCATCATCAAGCATATAGACATCACCATATTGAACCTGGAAAGACAAATTGGAAGTTAGAAAATGGCAACGGAAGAAAAAGGAAAAAAATGGAACTTAAAAAAAAAAAAAGAGAAGTAAAAGGGAAGAAATTAGCTAAAATCTAGAAAGTTGCATTTCTATAAGAGAAATTAAAGCAAATTCTGATACTCCAAAGGATGGGAGTGTATCAGAGTCTTGAAGTAAAATTCTAAATGTACTTCGATTTTCTTTAAAAAAATAACAAATGCATCAACCTTAGGCAAGCAAAAACCAGAATGTGTGACAATCAGGGAAATGGTAAGTTAGCAAGACAAAAGTGAATTGCAGCTTAAGCTTTAAAACAAGCTGTGGCTAGTTGGTAAAACAAATAAGGCTCTCAACAAACATGATAGAAAGTTAAAAAATTTCATCTTTTCCTCCCTAGTTCCTAGCCTCAAAGCCAACTGAAACAACTTTCAATATTACAAGACCCCAGATAAGCTGGGACCAACATTGGATTATGGCCTTTCTTTGTTCTATCATTTATCAGAATGAAATATCCACACATCAAAATACAAGCAAGAACATCAATTTCCATTCAATTCTTTTTCTTGGTTTTGTGCACTCTGAAATACAATCTCTAATTAATATGCAGAAAGGATGACAGTGCCAGGACTCGATCCAACTTTAGAACTTATAGAAAACAACATCTATGAGCTCATTGATAATTAACGTAACACCAAAGAACCATATAACAAACCTCATGCCTTCGGGAGCATTTGAAAATAGGTGATCCAGGTTTGGCCATAAAATCACCCTCCTGCCCACCAATAACAATAAGCCGATCATCCACCACAATGCAGGCTCTACAAGAAAAATAAACATTAAAATTAGAAATAACGAAGTTAGTTGTTTTAATCCTCTTATAAATGAAACCTAAAGAGGCAGTGTTGGCTCCTTCAAAAGGAAACCTATGATCAATCATGCAAGACATGAATAACAATAACAATGGGTAAAAGACTTGAACATACCCCAGGTTTACAGAATGACTTAAACATACCCTGAGGTTTCAAAATGAACTTAAATATACCTCGTGGGCTGACCCCACTGGACTTAAACATACCCTCCATCGGTAAAAGTTAAAATATAAACTCATAAAAAAAATTAAAATCCTATTTTTCCTATCAAAGTTCTTTAATAGATAAGTCCTTATTTTGAAAATCTGAAACTGCACTTACCTACAACTGAACAGTCACACCCAATTAGGCTTCTTGCAAATTGAACAATCAGTGAACATGAGTTTGTTTTCCATGTCTACTGACAAAACCCAGTGCAGATATCATGATGATACAACCATAAAATACACCACCTCAGTTCAACTGAACAGTGAGTAAATACGACTGTTCAACCAGGTGAACCATGATATGCCCACCACCAAGGTGAACCACAAAACCCAGCTATTCATGATACAGTGGGCCAAACAATCACTAATCTGAAACCTGATGTTTTCTATCAGATTGCACGTTTTCTCATAAGAGAATACCACTTAAATTGCTCAACCCAGGTAAACCCGAAACCCAGCTCAAACAATAATAACATCATAATACATCAAGAAAAATTATTCTCTTTACCTTTTTTTCAAATTAAGCTTTTATTACTCACAACCTAATAGTAACAATAGAAAGGCTTCTAAAGGATGGAAATTAGAAACCATACATTAAGAAAATGGTTTTATCTTCTTGTTAAAGTTTATGCTACAGGATTCATCAAAAAAAAAAAAAGTTTATGCTACAGGGGTAATATTGTCTTTTTCGTCCTTTGTTTCCTAGTCTAATGTCATGTGCAACCCTTGGAGAGCTTCCACTCCACACAATGCACACTATCCTTACAGAGAAATCAGCTTTAGCTGTTGCAAGAGGTGGTGGTGGTGGTTGAGGTACTCATGGAAGAGGTGTGGCTAGAGGTAATGGTCGTGGTGGTGGGGGTGGAAAAGAAAGAGATGGCGGCAAAATTCGTAGCAGACATGGTCAAATCTGGGAGTGCTCTCATTGTGGTCCTGGATACAGTTAATTTTTGCTATGACTTGCATGGCCCACCCTCTTCTTGGGCCAATCATGCCTTGGTGGAAGTAGTAGGTGGAAGATGACACCCACTACTAGTTGGCAAGGATAAGGAATTGGTTTCCATCACCCTGAGGAATATGAGAGACTTCACCTATCCTCTTCTTCCAGGACTACTGCTACTCTTGCACATTTAGGTACAGATTGTCTTGTTTCCAGTTCCAAAACCTTGTGTAATTAACTCTGGAGCTTCAAATTGTATGACTAGAACTTTAGACTTGTTCATGTCTTTATCCCATCCCCCCACTTTAGACTTGTGTAAAAATAACCATTAATTATTATAATTGATGAAAATGTTGTTATTAACATAATAAAAATAAATAAATCAATAAAAAAGTAACAAGATAAATTAAAAACTAACATTCATTTAAAACTAATATAAAACTAATACAAAATTATCTAATAATTATTAGTTGTATAATTAATTTTTACTTAAATTCCGTTGAAAAATAAAAGTTTAATATAACAGTTAAGTTTAATAAGGATTAATAAAAAGAAAAATCGATAAAAATTTATTAATCTTAAATATAGTTTAATTAATTTAACAATCCTATGAATTACCTTCCCCTCTATTTTGACCTTAACAAAAACCTCCCATATTGTTTTGAAAAAATGGTGCAAATACCTTCCTTCCATTAACATTCGAAATAGAAAATGTTGATGTAATGCATTAACTTTTTAAATACCAAAATTACTCGTATTCAGATGTAAATTTACTAAAGTACCTTAAAAAATGATTTGCTTCCATTTACTTCACTTCAATCTTTTTACCTTACTTCATCCAAAACAAATAGAGAGATTTACTCTTTAAAAGGTCTCAAGCAAAATAAATTAGTGGAATCGAAGGGTAAAGTTGAAACTTCAAATTGTGTATAGTACCACCTTAACAAATGGTAAGGGTATTTTTGTAACTTCAATGTCTTTGTTATTGAAAAGCACAAAAAGGAGGTATTTACACTTTTTTCAAAACTATAGGGGTCAAAACACAAGGATGGTTTATAGAATTGTTATAAGAGGAGTTTTTTTATAATTTTACCTAAAATAATACAAAAATAATTACAAACCTAATAAAGTTTAAAATTAATAAAAAAATTAGCAGTAATATACAAAAAATATAATATCTAGACACTTGGTGTCTGTTGTATTTTCTACAATGTTTTGCTTCTCTACTTTCTTTTAAAATTAATAAATTCTTCTTATGAGTTACTCATATATATATATATATATACACAAAAAAAAGACAAATTTATCTAGAGAATAGAAAATTAGCCACTCTCACTAAAACACAACTTGAATTGTGGTCAAATAAACTAGACATAACCCAAAAATATAATGCTTCAATTGAACTTAGAGCTTCTTCCTCAAATTTTTCTTAATAAAACCTGTGCAATGCACACGTCCCCACTTGTATTATAGTAAGACTAAATATATCCACATAAAGGCTAGGTATTATGAAATAATGAAAATATAAGTAATCAAGTTCATATAATTAAACATGGTCAAAAGAGTACATTTGTGCCAAGAAACTTGGAGAAAATAATTATCATTACCTATCAAACCATTTGGAGAAAATAGTCACAGTAATTTATATCACAATCAGCATACTATTTGTTAGAAAAGATGGAACACAAACCTGTGGGGCCCCCCACGGGGAATGGGCACTTCATTTCGCCACTGTTTCTCCAATGCTTTTCCATTCTTTACAGCAATACTCCAATGCTCTAATCCAGGTGTATGGCGATTCTCCTTGCTGCCACCCATTACGTGTAACCTACCTCTCCAAATTTGAGTTGCTGGGGCATACCTACAGATAGATATATTGAAAGCTTTCATTCAAGAATCTAGATCTAAAAATGCAACTTTACAAGACCTGACAATCAATATGGATCTAACAGCTTATAAAAAGGTGCATCAGACATTACAAATCGCTACAAAATCTAGAACACAGAAAATAGTGTAATGAAGACCACCCAAAAACCTTAGTATCTATTAAAAGAATATCGAACATATCATATGTATGTGTGTGTGTGTATAAGGGCTCTTCTTGCTCAAAACCCCCTTCCCATTTTTCTCAATTTTTTGATTTTTTTCCCTATTTTTCCCTCAAAGAGTAATGAACCGCGTCTTCATATTCATTCACATCAAACGAGAAGCCTTTTGTTTCCTCACATCTCCCTACCATGTCAGTTACTCTCTCCATTAAGAAGATGCAAGTCTCAAGCTAGAGACCCTTTGTCTTCTCTCAAATCTTGTGTTAGCAGAGGTCGAATACAGCCATTGTCATAATGTTTTCTTCTCTCAAATTGGCATACAGACGAAAGAAATAGGATATGATACCCTTCATAAAACGTTCTAAGGCCCAGAAGAGAGGGCATTTGTAGGTCAGGTAGATGTTGAGTACAGCCATTTTCCTAATACTTTTGGGCTTTAAGTTTCAAAAATCTTTTGGCAGTGTGGCTCATAATTTCAGAAGGCTTTTTTAGGTCAGTTCTCTTCACTAAATGCCTCATTATCTGTTCTTGCATCTTCCTCAATGGGGTTTTCTTTCTTCTTCCTAAAATATTTTGTATTTTTGGCTGGTTGACCATAGAAACACACGAATCTAATAGAGAGATCATCAAAATGCCTAGATGAAGATGGTTTTGCCAACAAAAACTTCATCTAAGAATTTTGCTTTAAACAATGGCCAATCAACCACCTAAAAATTTGCAGGGAGCAGCGATTTTGATCTGCTCTTTTGTTCTAGCGCCTTCCCCTTTTGACACATTTTATTTTCCTCTTCACAGCAACCATTGTTGCATCCATGGAGAGGACATCTTATTTCTGAAAAAAAAAAGCAAGTCTATGCCCTATTTTTTCCATTATTTAACCTGGCATTAGTTTTCTTTGTTTAAGTTAGGGTTTAGATTTTTTGATAATTTCTTAGAGTTTCGATTTAAATTCACTTTTCATGGATGGTAATATAAATCATTGCAGAGTTTACTTAAATTTCAGTGGTTCTACGATGCAATAAGCAGAGAAGTAAAAGAGAAAACAAAGACTATCAATGTTTGGATGGAACCCTCCTAATCCAACAATCAACATAAACTTTGATTAGTTGATGCCTCAGTGAGACAACATCGAGAATCAGCAGTTGGATGTGTAGCCAGGAACCACCATGGAAAAATATAAGGAAAGTTGCAAGACCCTTAAAATCAAACAATTTTCATTTTTAAAACACATTAAAAATGAAAATTTAAAAATAAAATCAAACATATTCAAGCATGTAAAACTCTCAATCTCTTTATTTTTTCCCACTTGCACTACTTCAAATAGTTAAATGTGATGCTTTGCATTCTTAATTCTATGAGCTGCCTTTGTACCAAGCCCCTCGAGGAAAGCCCAAACAAGTTCATGTTAGGCATGCCTAGGCACACCAGGCACACGCCTTTTCAAAGTGATGTGCCTAAGGGCCTAGGCAAGACGCATACCTTAAAATGCACCTCACCTGTGCACCTAGGCACACCTTTTAAACCACTGGGCTCTATATGCTAAGTCTATTTTTTCCTTCTCATTGTTTTAATTTTCTTAACATTTGCAGTTTGCCTCCAGTCAAGCAAGTGCTTCATTTGGTGCCTACTCTCCCAGGTGCTAGGAGGCCCACCCTAGCACTTTAGTGTCACCTAACAAGCTAACACTTTTAAGTACATTTACAGTGCATAATAATTAATGGATTGGGCATAAGATTAAATATCTTGCTTTACATATTAACATGATTAGTAATTGTTTTATTGAAAGGTCGAAAAATGCTTCCATCAGGTCAAGAGGATATGATAATAATTAAGATGGACAACTAGAAACAAAGTAAGGAGCCAGTGCTTGATTCAATAGTAAAATAGCATGGGTTTGAGTCTGAGAATGGTCACTTTGTAAGGAAAGAAAGAAAAAAAAAAGCCAAAAATTAGCTCCATATCCATTCTACCCTAAATGATATCTGTTAAGTTCTTTTCTAAAGATGATTGGATGGATATTATTCTTAACCCCTATTTTGATATGGTTCTCATTGTGTAGAGAAGCTCATTTATTTCTCTTTTACCCTTAATTTCATCCCTTTTGTATAATATTACCTCTCGCATGTCAAAAGAGAGATAAAAACTATATTCTTCATTATTGAATAAAAAATAATGCTTTACATGATTTTGGAATAAAAGGTAAAAAAACTACCATACACTTATCTAAATCGTGACCATGAAGCATACCTGGGTACTGGTAAAGGGGGCAACTTCCCCCACTGTTTTGTCTCTGTGTCCAGCACATATGAACGAGTTATCGGCCCTCTGCATTGTGGACCATATTGTCCACTGACTATGTAGATGTATCTCCCATCTGATGCCACTCCTAAATGTGAATGAGCCATTTCCTTTGGCATATCAATCCTTCCACCCCATGTATTGTCCGTAAAGTTATAGACATCAACATGAGAATGCACCTATAAGGTAAAAACATAAAGAATAAACAGAAAACAGCCAAGGTCAACTGATTATGTAGAGTTTATGTATTAAAGAAACTAAAACTACAACCACATCAATTGCTCATTGACAGGAAGACAAGAATCACTAAAATTAAGTGGAGAGCTACAACATTCCATCAAAAGCATTTATTATTTTAACGTTTTAGTTGAAAAGAACCATCACTTAAACCAGAAGCTCATTTGTGTAGAACTTAGGAATACCCTATCATGTCTATTTTGATCACTTCAGAAAAAAACAATAGTGATCTAAAAAATAAAATAAAAAGAAAATCAAGTGGAGAGCTACAACAATCCATCAAAAGAATTTATTATTTTATTAATGTTTTAGTTGAAAAGAGCCATCACTTAGACCAGCAGCTCATTTGTGTAGAACTTAGGAATACCCTATCAGGTCTATTTTTTATCACTTCAGAAAAACAATAGCGATCTACCAAATAAAATAAAAAGAAATCTGTGATACAACAGACTGCTAGCTAAGAACATTGCCATTTAGCCCAGTGATTCTAGCTTATCTTATCAAATATTCTCTCTCAACTATGATGCGTGAGGACATTATGAAGGGTTCATGTAAACCAAGTTAAACAAAATGCAATGCACTTTCTTATATTAACTAGAAGTCTCATTTATAAGGTTTACAATAAGCTCAAAAACCAAACAAATTGATAGAAAAAAACTGCAAAATCCATTGCTTCAAAATTTTCAGAAGCCATTGAACAATGCAGGCCGTTCAGGTTATACAATTCAGTTCATGTCGTTACTTCGGAAAATTGGTTGGATATAAAGAATGAAGATCACATAACGACCTTCGTATTAAGCTGACACTCACCATTAAGCAATCAAATTGCAAACACTTAAACATTGAAGTGAGTTCATGAATCAACCAAAGACCATAAGCAATTAAATCCCATAAACTAAGAAAAAAGTAAATAATCTCGAAGGGTGGAGAAGGAGTCTCACGTAGTCGATGGTACCATATCCAGCAAGCACGTAGAGAAGATTCTTAATCTGTATCGCTGACCCATCAAGACGAGGAACAGGGGCCGTCGCCATCTGCTCCCATTTCAGTTCTGGTGCAGGTATATCAGCGTAGGTTGCGGACAAGAATCTACCAGGAGCCGGGTCTTTATTAACTTCATCAGTTTTTTCCTAATGCGAGTGCAAAACCATTAAACCTAAGTAGATCAACCCTTATTAACGAAAAACAGTCGCCTAAAAGTCTAACACACCCAATCAAAAACCCTAAATAGAATAGTCGTCCAAAATCGATAAAACCTGCTGGAATTATGTTCTATATCTTAAGAAATGCTATGTCATTAATCCAACTCACCTTTTCGACATTATGTATGACCACACTCCCAGATTTCTCGGAAGCCCAGTTGGAGGCGAGGGAAGAATAAGCGGAAGCCAAGGAAGAAGACGAAGCCCAGAGAAAGTCAGAAATCAGAGCGAGCGCTAGAAGGCCTACAAACAAGAAGAGAAAGAAGAGTCTTGACGAAACGTGCTTAGCGTTCGGCCTCGCCATTTCATTTCATTGAAAGCCTTGGAAAGAGACAGAGAAGAGAATCCTGGGAGAGAGACAGAGATGGGGGTAGACGGAGATGCCGAGAGATAATTTGAAGGTGATTGAAAGGATCTAGGAGAAACGATGGTGGGAGGAAAATGGTGGGAGAATGAGAAAGCATGGGCGCCATTGGTTTCCGGTTTCGCCTTCGGCGCCATGGTTTTTCGTCAATCAACGGGTAGCATGTGCTTTCTCTGCACGATAACACAGCTGTTCCCGCTTTAATAACAGCTCACAACCAAAATTAAATTCGCATCAGCGCCTCACACAATAGCGAACTGCCACCTGTCCGACCGCACGTGTACTTCCTGTGACGCATATGGAGCTAATGGGACGGAAGTTAACTCCCAAAATCCTATGCCCGCTTCCTCTATCGATTCTGCTCTCTGTCCGTTTGCCTCGTCTCATCTCGAAAGTCCAGAATCGAATTTGGATAATTGGATTCCACGCTTCCTCTCCGGCATCGGACATCAATTCAGGTGATCACACCATCCGGCAATTTTTCATAGGGTGCAAGTCGGGCGGGTTGGGCCCGGTTTATGGTCAACTCGGACCTAGTCCTAAATTTTGGGCTTAAAGCCTGAGCCAAAAGGTAAAATCCGATTTTTCTAGCCCTTATTGTAATTTAATGCACTTGGGATGGGTTTGGGTTAGTCAATAAACCCACTCTAAAATTATAAATATATATATATATATTCAAATTTATATCTATAGTATTATAAAAAATACGAATAGCCTCTAAGATTTCTAGAATTTTTCTTGACTAAAATACCCCTTTTTTGAAATATAGTATCTTTATTGTGAGAGTAAAAAATGTAAATTGAATACTATTATTCAATGCATTCAATTCCCTCATTAAATCTCACATTTAAGGTATTAACTCCCATTCACCCTCATTGAATCATATGTTTAAAGCATTCTTATTTATTCTCATCACTAAATTCCACTAATTAAATCAATACATACTAAATTAATAATTCCAATAAAATAAAAAGTTGTACTTTTAAAATCTACATGGAAAAATAATGTTTTTCATCTAGGTGGTGGTAAGAAATTAAACCATTTTGGGTCAAATGGGCCAACTCATGTTGCCACAATTAAATAGTAAAAATTCAAAAAAAAATAGAAATTAAAGAAAAATTTAGGAACGTTTTTAATATCATATATTTGACATATTAAACAATAACAATTATGATAAATAAGAAATATTTTTACTAATTATGGAAATAGAATATACAATTTAAAACCAATTATAAATAAATATTTTTACTAATTATGGAAATGGAATATACAATTTAAAACCAATTAGAAATAAAACTATTTTCCTATTTTCTTCTCTCTCATTAAATCTCATATCTAAATTATATTCTCTCATTAAATTCTATATTTGAGATATATTTTTCTCATCATTAAATTTTACTAGTTAAACCCACAACATGAATTTTAATAGTGAGTGAGAGAGAGAGAGAGAGAGAGAGTTAAGGAGGAAGCAAGAAAGGGGGAAGGAAGAAAGGAGTATACATATACTAGTAATTGTACATGTGCTTTGCACATGGGGATTTTTTTGTGATGATAATGATAGTAAATAATATATTTCCAAAATTTTCTACAATTTTTGTTTATATTTCTATGTCTATCAAAATTATTATTATTATTTGTCACATTTATTTTTGTTTATGAATATATGATATTAGAGAAGTGACCAAATGTTTTCTACATTTTTTTGTATTTTTTATACTTTTGTGTGTTTTTATCTCTTATTATTATTGTTGTTGTTGTTGTTGTTTAAATATAACATCAAGAGTTTGACACATTTTGACTCAAAAGGTTGAATTGTTGATTCGCCACCAATAAAGAAAACAATTTCATTATTGGCTTGATATTAAATTTGTATTTTATTTATATCATTAATAAAAATTATTTTTGCCACACTTATTTTTCTTCAATATGGTTAATTAATACATGATTCAGTAAAAAATGAGAGTTAATACCCCATATAAGACTTAGTGAGAGATAATTGAATGAAGAGAAATGTAGTAGTTCAAATTACAATTTGTGACCTCACAATTAGAGCAAGACCAAATTCAAAAATAGGGGTGTTATAGTCAAAATATGATTCAATAAATGTTAGTTGGAGTGAATACCTTAAATATAAGACTTAATGAGTGAGATTTGAATGAGGAGAAATGCGGTTATTCAAATTACATCACACTAGCAGGGCCTCATGCAGTTCTTGGGAAAATCCAAAATCATGTAATAAGATAAAAGGTATTAACCAGGCTGAGCCAGGTTTTATCTCAGCCCAAGGGTTGGGCCTGAGGCCTAAGCCCAAACTATACAACCTAAGCCCAGCTTGCACTGAAATTTGATACACTCAGGTTAGTCAATCAACCCACACTAAATAACTATTTTTGTAAGCTAGCTGATACAAAAAATAGGTAATAACCTATGCTTACATCATACATGAATAGCTTATAAAAAAATTATGCACATATGCATATATACATACAAATATGTGTGTCTAAACATGCATATACGCATGCATATAATTTAAGGGCTAGGTTCAAGCCCAATTTAAAAAATAAAAAAAAAGACTAATCTTTTGAGCCCAAACCCATCATGAGGATTGAAAATACAGGTCCAACATATATAAAATTGCCGGTTGGATCAATCCGCTTGCCCAAGTTGCACCTTTATATAATACAACGTTGCATATTTTGAAACCTGTTAACTAATCCAGATGCTGCATGGATGAAGAATCCATATCATTCACCTATTACACGTGTCATATTATTCACAGGTTTGGGTAATTGGGTTTCATATCAAACATGGGTCTATCAAACACGGGTCAAACATAAACCATTTCCATTGTCGTCTTCACCCCGTTTGTTGAAAAGGTACCATCAAATCAATTGACACACAAAAAGGTGGAAGACACGCTTTTGAAGTTGTTTTAATCAAATTTTTAACTAAAATTCAAATGTCTTATGACCAAAAAAATAAAAAAATATGGCGATTATACAGAAAAAAAAAATCCAATGAAAATTTTTGTAACCGAAGCGAGATTGGCTTCAGTCAGCCTATTCGAACACCGTTTAAACAGTCTTTACAGCCTTACATCAAGAACATCTCCATATTTATGTAATTTATTTCATGGAGAGATATTCCCAATACATTTCCAATGCAAGGCTATAATGGTTGTGAGCTTTGCACTGACTGAATCTTAGACTCAATGAATGACGGCCATGTATTCTTTGCATGGGTAGTGGTCTTCCCTTGTGTCTAAGTGTCTAATACTGAACAGAACCCTTGTTTACATATTAATAATGGGTATTATTTACTTTCTTTTTTTCCTTAGTTTTCACACAACAATTTCCTCCTATATATTGGACTGGATTTGGTCCAATTTGGTCCAGTCCAAAGTGAGTTAATTGGAACAAAATAAGGGTGTCTGAAACAAGGTTCAAAGTATCGACACGTATCATATCGGGAGCTTCCCGATAGGCTCCTACAGAGGGTGTATCGGGGTTTTGACCGGTTCAGGGGGTGGATGGACCTTAAACAGGCCCCTCTGAACCGGATTTGAAAAAAAAAACTACTGATACTGTTCGATACGCCTCTACCAACGTATTAGGTGTATCAATATTTTGAACCATGGTTTGAAACTAAATAACAAAGTTTTCAGATGATGGTGTTTTTTTCTACAAAGAGTGGCTAACGCCTAAGATAGTGAAAAACAGACCTTGCATATAATGGTCGTTGTATTAAGCGACCATTGTTGCTTGATATGGGTCAAGAAGATGATTCATATGGGTTGGTTTCTTTGAATTTGACCCATATCCGGTTCGAGTCTGATATGGCATGTGCTAGTCTGAACAGTCTTAGGCTCTATTTGGTTTGTAGAAATAGGGGTCTAGAATCGGAATCGGATTGGGCTATTTCGATTCCAATTGTTTGGTTGGGTGGAATCAGAATCCCATTTCTATTTTTGTTGGAATGGCATTCTCCCATTTGAGGGAGTGGCCATTCCCTTCCCCTCCCTTGGGAATGAAATCTCATTCCTGCTTATTTCAATTCTCGTTCCCAGTCCTATCTGAGCCAAACAAACTATGGGAATAGACCATTCCAATTTCGATTATAAACCAAACGGGCCCTACTCATGTAGTCAACTCCGACCTAAAAGGTATTTTGCCAAGCCCATTCCAAACATAGGTGGAAAGGTAAAAGCTAAACCATAAAAAAAAACATGTAACAAAAAATGGTTAACTCTAGGGTCTCATAAAAGCTAAAACATGTAAGAAAGCTAAAAAAACTTAATCTATCATGTTATTTCAAAAGTTCTCCAAGGATTTAATCTGCCATTCCGAGATTTTAATGATTTTCCTAGGCTTTTTCATGCTCAAGGTGTTGTTTTTGAATCTGTTCATGTTTGGTTTGAATTTGACATTTCAGTGGTAGAAAATGTAAATTTGAAATGGCCATAATGACTTTTATGTTAATTTCTGGGCCCAAGAGGGGTTAACTTTGGGGTTTTGGGTTCTTTTCGTTTACTTGGATTGTCTTAACTGGTCTAATGGGCCAAGGTGAATTAATTGAAGGGCTGACATTAGCCTTCACTCTTTTGAGGTTTTAGGTAGGAACATATGAAGGGGCGATTTAATTTGGTGCATTGAAACAAAATCTTTTTTATTTAACGATTAAACAGGTGAATTAGGTCATGAGAATTGATGTACTGGATTTTTCTGGGTCTCTAATCATGGTGGTGAAGTCTGATTGGCCAAATAAGTCCTAGATGATGGAGATATATGGATGATAATCTTTAATTAATGGGATTTATTAAAATAGAATCTTAGCTTGATGAGGCAGCAAATGAGGAAATTTTGAGATGAAATTTGGTGGATAGGCATTTTTAAACATCCTGGATTTGATGGGAAAGTTGGATATTTGATCAGAGGTATGAATTAAAAGATTTTATTTAGATCAAGATTTTAGCTTATAACTTTTTTTATCAATGATAAGGCTTGAAAAGGAACTTAGCTTGTTTAACGATCAAATGGGGAATTATGTCACGAAATCTGATTCACAAGGGTTTTTTTGTTTTTAAACATGGTGGAGAGGTTTGATTTATCAAATAATCTTGGATGATGGAGATCTATGGTTGTCTTTTTCTAATTAATGAAAGTTGCTAAAAT